TATATATATAATACGGAGGAAGATAAAAAAAACTAAAAAATATCAGGAAAGAAACAAAATTTATTATGATGCTAGATTTTTAGATATAGACTTTAAAACTGATAAATTATTTATGTTTTAGAAGAATTTACTTATCCTAATACGAGGAAGTTATCACCTCCTTTTAGTGGACCGTATAAAATTCTTCAAAAAATTTTAGAAGCTAGTTACAAAATAAATAGAAAAAATAATTTAAGTAAACAAAATTTTGAAATAGTACATGTATCAAAGCTTAGGAAATATCACAGCCCACAAATGTTGAAATTCAATCATGAATAGTGTCCAAAAGGAAGGAAATATCTTTTTTACTTTCTTCAATGGAAGAAGTAAACCTTATATTTTAGGGAGATCCGAATCGCGTGTGGAGATGTTTACCTCAGCATCATTTGGATGTGAGGGCGAAGAAAGTCGAATTTTTTTTTCGCTCAACAAGGTGAGAAAAATATTGTAAACTATTTTTGTATTGTCCAATCTGGAACTCTCAATATCAATGTGCTTCATGAAATTCTGTTTTCCTTCATTTCAAGGGGGAATACAGATTTTCATCAGGTAAATATCCCCTTTAACCACACAAAATCTTAAATTCTTATTAAATGACACTTGTTGTCCAGTTCGTTCACATAAAAATTGTGTATATTTTTAACTTAACCACACAGAATCTTAAATTCTGATTAAATGACACTTGTTGTCCAGTTCGTTGGCATAAATATTGTGTATATATTTGTGAAAAAATTTTTGAAAATTTTAGTGGAATAGTTATATAAATATGTTTCATTTTTCTTTCGGTTTAGTTGACTAAACAGGTAAATTGCATTATCATGTTGTTATTTTTGTAATTGCAAATAATTGTTTTTTTTGCACATAATTGAAAAAAATGTTATTTGTAGTAGGGAAAAAGACAGTCGTACCAATCTAAATTTTAAAAATTTAAAGTATACGAATTTTTTTCATTTTGACTTACCAAATTTTTTTTTATAATACAAAAATTATAAAAAATTCCTTTGTATTAATAAAAGCATTAAAACTCCTTCATTTTCATAAAATGTCTTTGGTAAAGAATAGGTGTAGATATATTCAATTTTGGGACTTCAAGGCTGAAAACATACCAATGAACTATAATTAGATTTATATTTCAAAGGATTAGGAAGCCTTAAATGATTATCGATGATGCGTAGAGTTACAAGGTATGCACGACTGAGCCTTTTTACCTCCTTTTGTGTTAGTTCTTAATGCAGGAACAATAGTTTTTGCCTGACTTTCTCAAGTATGCTGTGGATCTGATAAGCTGTGACGGAATCGTCTGAGAGTGTTGTCCACTCCCCACCAGTGTGGAGAATGGGTGCGAACTGTTATAGTCACCAGCCTACCCTGAAATAAAACTTATGAGTAACTAATTGGTTCACGACTTGCTTATTTGAGCTAAATACAAACCAAGATATGAGGTATGTAACCCTGATATATATATATATATATATATATATATATATATTTAACTTGTTTAATGATATACTTTGAGTGTTTATCCCAGGACGATTTCAAACAAATTCTACGTATCATTGAGTTTTAAATGAATTCCTAAAAATCTCATTTAATAGCCGTTATTCCATTCNTATATATATATATAATTGCATAATATAATCAATTAAAGATAGTGTAGAGAAAAACTCACTGCAAATTCGTGGCTGGAGTTGCCAGATCACCAATCGTTGTGAGCGTAAGAGTGGACCAGTAAACAGATCCTAGATACTTCCTAACCAGCGGCGAGTGCTCATTTTCGGGATAGTCTGGATGCTTATAAGCCCAGCTACCCTTGAAACCTTCCAGCTCAGACAACATGTAGTAGAAGCATCCGAACCAATGAGCCAACAGAAGCAGGACGTGGATGAGGTTGGCAACTCTCCACAGGTTGGGATAAGCTGTTCGTGATTCCACTGCGTAATAAAACTTGTAGATCCTTCTTGCTTTTAGAAATCTAGAATGGAGGATACACAAGAGTTTAGATAAAGAATTCAGGATACTGTAGCTCCTTGTGCTTAAAGTAAAAGACTAAACACAAAATTAGACTTCACAAATTTATAAATTTACATACACATTCGTTTAAATTTTTAACCAATCAAAATGAAGGGAAGTTAAAAGTACTCTAACACCAATCGAATTATAATTCTTCAATATATATATGCACTCAATTCTCTTTTTTATTTATCAATATTTATTTACTATATTTTCCTTTTACAGCCTTTTCTGCTTTCACATTTCACCTATCCTTCATTTTGTTTTCACTATCCTTAATTTTTTCCCCAATTTTCCTTTTCACAACCCAGGAATCCTTTTTTTACTGCCCTTCAAAACCACGCTCCCCTAAAAAGTCCCACAAAACATCTTAGATTAAGAGTAAAATTCAAATAAAAACTAAAATGTCTTAAACACTTCCTGAAACATTAAGGAGAGCTTAAGAACACAATCACATTAAACCCCGCTGGTCAAACAATTATCCTCAATCACTTAATTAGGACTTTTCTAACAATTTGATCGGAAACATAAAGATCGTCCACCTAAAGATGTTCCAAAAACAGGATAGGATCTTTACTTTAATTTTCTACTTTAAGTATAAGGGAAAGGCAATTAAGTAAACGATTGAATAAAAATAAAGCTTAAATTTAATAAGTTAAATTAAAATATAAATTAGGTTACGATACAATCAATAATATAACAATTATTAACAATAAATTATTAAGAATTAATATAAGAATTCACCTATTTCTCAAAGATGATTGTTGATATAATAATTCGCTTACTCTTAACGAATGAAGTTGATACAATACTTCGTCTACTGTTTAACTATGGTAGTTGATATAATAATTCGCCTACTCTTAACGTTTGCAGTTGATACAATATTTCGCCTAATTCTTAAAGTTGATAAGTGATAAAATAGTTTTCCTACTTCTTAACGATAGTAGTTGATATAATATTTACGTCGATATAACGTATTCACTAACGATGGTAGTTGGTATAAGTTTTTGCCTACTTCTTAACGATGGTATAATGATAGTTGATAAAAGAATTTGTCTCCTTCTTAATGATGATAATTGCTATATTTTCCCTACCTCTTAATGATTGTAGTTGATATAATTTTATTTTATTTTTTCACTTTTGGTAGTTGACGTTTTTTCGACGTCGTCAATTACATCGATGTGTTCTGTTTGATAACACAAGGTTTTGACATCATGTTCCCAATGAAACTTTTGCCGTAAAAAAGTTATTGAAGTGTACTCAGATTTACTTTGTACCCTGGATAAACACAAATTAGAACTCTGAATAGTTACTATGCATAATTGAAATAAAATTCTATGCATGAATTTTGTCTAAAAAAGCATGAATTTTGTCTGAATGCCTGTCTATGCATGAATTTTGTCTAACATACATGTAACTAAATTTTAATTGAAGAAAAAGCAAGTTTTGATTGTCAAATTTAACAGTATGCATGTTTCTGAAAGTGACAGAAATGGGTGGTTGTTGACTTCCCACCGGTGAATGTTGACAATCACATACTCGCTTCAGTAAATGTTCGAAATATATACTAGGTCTAGTTAAGTGCTACTATCCACCTTAAAAAAAACATTGATGTAGGGCATACATTTGTCCGGTATGCCCTACGTCAATGTTTTTTTCAAGTTCAGTGCCACTGCCTGGTTTAAATTTGCCCGGTATGCCCTACCCTGATGTTTTTTTTAAAAAAGTTAAGTGCCCGGTATGCATTTAACCGGTACTCCAAACACTGATATTTCTCCTAATCTATCCTCAGCAGATATTAAAATATCGAATAAATTTAATAATATCAACGAATAAACTAATATAAAATCGGATATAGCAAATATTTCGGACATTTACCAGAGTGACTATGTGATTTTTGACATACACTTGCAAAAGTCAGCATTCTCCTGATTTCGGAAATTGACGATAGCATGTGTATACTATAACATAAACTATTAAGTTTGATTCTGAGTATGACAGCGGTTTCGAATATATATGTTTTAACAGCAATTTATCATGTACCATAAGCGTTGCTAAATATTTATTACTACAGACTACAGAGTACTGTTTAAGGAGTAATTAGTCACTTTAGTATCCACGTTAAGTGCCTGCATCCATCACAAGAAGTGATCGTGCGTTAACATTTCTAACGGATTCCTATTTTCCAGTGAGTTGTTTTGCATTTAGTGATGTTTGAATTATTCAACGTCACTACATTTCACTTATTCTCAGTTTACCTTAACAGAATCAATAAACTGAATAAGCTTACACTTTTCCATTATTTTCCATCAAGATGCTTAAAATGTTATCAACACTATTAATTTTAGGAATAATAAACTTTATTATTAACTTTATTTTTTGATATTTATAAAGAATATATTCAATATATTTTTAAGGACAAAAAATAAATAAAGAAAGAAAAAAGCAAATATAAATAGCACAAAATTACTTCGAATTATAGAGTTTGAAAATACAAAAGAAGAATTGACTAATAATTAACTGTTTAAACAGAAAATTATAAATATTCTTAGCTATATTTTATAGTTGATTTATAAAATTCCATATATATATTTTGTTTAGAATGTAAGCTTTATTTCCATGTTTTTCGCTGGTTTAAAAAAACATAACTCATTTTTTGAAATATGCCATTAATAGAATATTTTTAAGCACGTAAAATAAATAAAATGCAATAAAATGAAACGAAACAAATGTAAGAACATTATAAAAAATACATTAAAAAGGATGATGCGTTGATTTTCTGATAGTCAATTGTCTTATGGACCTTAACTGATTAACACGCTATCAAAATATAACATTGTTTTGAAAATTTTGAACAGAAAGTTTTTTTGACGGATTTTTTTGCTTGAGATGTTTAAACAACGTTGTTTTTTGCTAAATTAGCATGCCTGCCTAGATGAAAAAAATGCCTTAAAAAATAAAGTTTAAGCGAAATTTTTAAATTCTGCTTAAAAACTACATTTAGATGGAAATTACATTTTACGAAGAAAATTGTTTTATGTCGGCCTGTTTAAAGTGCAACCTTTTTAAAAGTTCGGTACAGAAAGTTTTACTGAGGCTATTCAACAGTACTGCAATACTTCTCCAAATCTATCGTTGAAAAACTCCAAAAGACATGTCAATGAATACTATATTTCAATTGAACAACGCATTCAGAGTTCATATACATATTTTATTGCTGTTTTTGCTTCTTTAGCCACTTGCAGGGTTGCCAACTTTCTACCCTTTTTGTAAATATTTATTCTAGTGGTAGCTATATTTATGCTCTAATATATTATATTTTATTTATTTAAACTTATTTTCCTCACCACTACATATAAATGATTTAAAAGTTCATATGCAGCGCCACATTGTTTCAGATCTTTCGTAAAATGTTGGCAAAATTATCAAAAATCTTGAAAGCTTTAGTTTTTAAATGTATGTCACTGTATGAAATATTTTTCAAAAAGTGTAGTAGTTGGCAGGCCTGCATTTGCCGATACTAGAAGGCCTTCTTGGTGAAGCCAAGCGAATTTATGGCAGTGGATGTGTTTCATGATTTTCAGGGGCGCAATTTATGGTCAAGAATACGACTTCTGAAACGCACATACGTCACAGCCCGTTTATACATCGCAGACCATTCATACATCCATTCATTCAACCACAGATCCACTTTTTGATCATAACCAGAGAACGATTCATCCCCAAATCAGTACCCACAGGTATGATTTGTTATGGGAACGTGGATAACTTTGTGACCCGACAGATTTAACGTGCACCAGTCACCATTTACTACACGGGGTGTCTGACATGGCCCAAAATATGCACTCTAAAGGTAGCATTTGCATTTTAATTGAAACGCAAATGTGTTCCTCCAAAATTAAAGTCAACTGTTATATGTTTTTAGTCGGTGTAATAAAGATAATTGCTTTCTCATAAGATACTTTTACATAACAATGTATTATGACAGCATCATTTCATCGCTTCCTTTAATACAGGCGTTATTTTTAATATGAACTATAACTGAGAGTTTGGGTATAATTTTGTTGTAGTATGAAAGTAGTTCTGAATCTAGTTGTCAAAAGGCTTTTTCAGTTGCATTCCACAAATGCTCAAGAGGGTTTAGATCATCTGAAGATGCTGGGAAAATATAAAAACCAATCTTTAACAATCCCAAAGACCCATTATCTTAATGAAAGTGTCCCACGGCACTAGGGTAGAACATCATCATTATAGGACTTAATTAAGGTTACCGTGCATTCGAAATAAAGGGCCCAAAATAAATCAGATAATGATTTTCTTTTTCTTTTTTATCCATCTACCATTACACGGTTAAAAATTTTAGTGTATTTTAACATCAGAAATGTTAAAACTATGTTAATTCAAGCTGGAGAAAACACACGGAGACTTAAATTGCGATTATTAGAAACATCTTCAAGCTTCATTAGGCAACCAAACTGATTTTAACATCTTCATCAGTGATTTGCCAGATTTCGTTAGAGTTTTTATTTTTTCTCCTTTTTTAAATATTTGGAAATGTCTCTTAATGAAGATAAAGTTTTTAAATTCATTCTAAAAATGTTGAGAAAGTGGAACACCTTTTAAATCCTAGAAGGACTTTAAAAAATCCAAAATGTTTCCTTATTTCTTCAAAGCAAAACAAATGATGCAGTAAGGATAACTTTATAAAAATATCGTTGGAATTAGATATAGTCTTAAGTAGAAGCAAACATTTCTAACAATATTTCTTTAGAAAGCAGAGTTAGTTCAGTGAATAAAGCGGTCAAACACGAGGAGTGATCCCGGTGATAACTGTTCACTTCTCGTACTTCTATCACCAACCACAGTGCTGACAAAAGATATCCTCAGATCAAGGATTATAGTCTCCATGCTGTCGGGCTAACCATGGGAGGTTGTCATGTTTATGTAATGCAAATATATGCC